CCTGGTCGTTCTGCAGGTACGGACTGGGAATTCAGGAATTTGTCCAGCATTTGGGAAGGAAAACGTCATTACCAAGCCGTGCTTGTGCCTCAGTCTACTCTGTACCTCTTTGGAAAATCAGAGATTCTGAAGTCTGGCTTGATTTAGCTGGAATAAACTGAACACTTGACCTGTTGCTACTGATCTTAAGTTTAGGTAACAAAAGTATCTGAGCACTCACCACGCTGTCTACAAGCATGTACTGAACATGTCTGAAACGGTGGACCCAGAGCACGGCGAAGGAAAGCCGATGCAGGAACAGATGTATCATCAAGAGGTGCACTGCAATGTCCAAGTACTGATCTGTTTACAGCCTACCCTACCCCTGCCTCTACATTAGGACTTCCAAGCCAGACACAATGCCAGTCACCAATTGGGAACAGCCAGCACAGTTAACATTCCCTCTTCAGTTGACTCTCAAAGACAGATGGACAAGGTCCCACCAGGCAGACCTTGCAGCAGGGTGCAGGGGCACAGGAGATATGATTAAAAGCAAGAGACACCCCCTCCCTGCCACTCCAACACTAACGGGTTTGCAGGCTGAACCATCAATGAGAAACTACTCTATCGATCGCTACACATGGAGAGCTTCCGACATTGGGTTCTGGCAGCGGTGGAGCCCATTACACATTTCTAGGCGCCATCCATAAAGCTAAAAACAGTTATGGAGGGAAAGAAGCCCCTCAAGAGCCACAGGTGGCAGGAGCAGCAAGTCCCAGGGAGCTTTCAGAGACAGCACATGCACGCCTGGCTCTTGGAAGGGTGGGCTGGCTGCACTGGAGCCTGCCGCATGTTTCCTGCTGGCTGTGAATTCCCAGGAACGCTCGGAATAGCTCGCTGTCAATCCCATTTGAGCGTGTTGTGGGAAACAAAACATTAACAAGACCTCTGGGGAGAACACTTTACGAGTAGCCAAAGCAAGCAATGGGAAAGGGTGGTAGCAAGTCCTTCAAAATTCCCAACAGCTTTTGGCCTGCTAGCTGTTTAACCAAACATCCCTGCAGCCATGGTTTCATTTGTCCATCGGGGATGAAAATCAGGATGCGATGGGAACAGTCCCCCATGCCCATGGCACGGTCCACAGCCAGCCAATACAGACCTGTGCTGACTCCCAGACAGAAAGGGGAACCCCCATATGCTTTGTTGACGGGAATACAAAACCTGCTAAGGTCCTTCATGCATGACTGGCAAGGGACTTCTTTCCCCCGGGATGAGGGCCTTCTTGGGGACAGGGAAAGGAAAGGAGGCTCTTGAGATGCACTGAGCCGCAGCCAGGCTGAGCAGAACTGTTGAGTTTCCCCTTGGCATTTTAAAACAAACCCTTTCGAGCTTTTCCAGCACTGACTTGCTGCGGACTAGTCAGTGCCCAGCTGAAAAGCACCAATGCTGCACCGAAAGGTTACTGTGAGCCACAGAGGTGAGCCCTGGACCTGTCAGTGTCCTGGTCACAGGACTGCTAACTGCTCCCAAGGCAAGTGTGTTTGTAAGCAGGGTTTGCCAGGAGCGATTCCCAGCTGGCACAGCAGTGCAGCCCACGCTTTATCTCCTCCTGTCAACAAGTCAGAACGCGTTGGGTCACAAGATTTATGGCTGGTTTTTAAAGTCTCTTTGGAGTCAAGAAAATCAGCCGAACTGAGCTACTCTGTGTGGCTGAAGGATTGTGCTCTTCTACCATTCCCACGTTCTTACCCCTCCATCACATCCCACCCACCCATCATGTAAAATTCTCACTCTGCCAGGCACACGTCGTGTTGAAAACCTAAAGCTTAAGTGAAAACCTCAGTATTTCTGAGGTAATTTTGAGAGCACTTTGAAACACTGATTATTGGGGAACACAGTAAAGACAAACCATTAGTTACAAACTTAACAAAACGTCAGTCTCAAATACCATATCTGAACAGTTACAACTGCCAGTATGCTCCCTCCTTTCCTGCACCTGAAGTTTCACACATGTAAGCTTTACAGAGCAGCACACTCCAGTGCAGCCACATCCTTTCAAAACTACTGCCGAAATTTCCAATCACTGTCTGAGGAAGCATGCTGGAAAAGTGGAAACCATTCCTTCTGTGAACCATCCCAAACCAGAGCAGTGGAAATGGCTTTTCCCTTCCTGCAGAAATATTTATGGCAAAGCAGGCCATTTTTAAACCAGAACATTTTAAATTAACCATGCAGAGGGCAGCTGCTTTTCTTCATCACATAATCCCTCCTAGCAACTTACTTGTTAAAATACATAAGCAGAGTGTTTAAATACTTCAACACAAACAAGTCACACGAGCAGAAACACAGAATTCATGGGTTAACTCGCCAACAAACTACAGAGCATCCAAAGCAGCAGCATGTTTGCCAGGCACCCTGCTCTAAGGAGGACCACATCTCCCAGTACCTGTGACATAACTGCGGTGCTCAGTCCACCGGAATCCCTTCCGAGGTTGTTTCCCTTTGATTAAATCCAGCCTGTGAGCTCTGCAAATGCCTGTTTTCTTCCTTGACTTATATAGAGCATCTCACATGAAGTCATTAGATGGGTCATTTTCCCAAACCAGAAGCCCGGATGATTCAGGTTGACTGAGGCTGTTGTTGTTGGAAGCGTTATTCTTAGCCATGACGAGGGTTTGCGGTATTTACTGTGCCCCGTGCCTGGGGAGGGATGGAGCTGGGACTGACGGGAGCAGACAGCTGAGGCACCGGCACCGCAGGGAAGCCCCAGCCACTACAAAAACGAATTCCTGAGACTCTGCTGGGGCTCTATTTATAACTTTAAAAGGCAAAACTTTGTTATGGCCACAAAATTGGGCTCTGAATCCTCTTGATGGGGGGGGGGGGGAAGTGTTTGCATTCCTTTTGTAGTATAACAAAAGATGCATTTTCTAAAGATTATATGAACCTTCTATCAAAAGCATAGCATTGTGCCCTAAACCACTTTTGCACAGGGATCTTTAACAGAAGAGTATTTTGTGCTTTTAGGAGAGCTGATACATTAGGGCATGGTTTTACTTCTACAGTTCTGCTAGGCTTGCTCTGATGTCAGCTCTTACACAACAGAGAGTAAAATCACTTTCTACTTACAGCACTATTTAAGTTTGATTATCTCACCTGTCATCTGTATAGGAATAGCTTACTCAGACACGGCTACCATGTTCCCTACTACATATGCTGACAGTAGAAAAACCTTTTCCAGGGTTTTTAATGTTTAACCCATGGCTTAGTAAACAAGGGGAAATGTTTCCTCAGAACAACAGCACCTTTTAGTGAGCTAACAAAGCACAGGAATAATGTATCAACTTCAGGAAAAACAGCAGATTTTTTTCTACTATACAAATTACTCAGATGCTTCTATACAGCTCCAGACGCATCACTGTTCTGATGCTGTTTATTACAACAGGAAAATAACATTCTGCATGGTTAAACCAAATATTTAGAATTCAAGGCACTGAGCTGCTTTTTCCCTTCAGCTTTCAGGATTGCTTCATTTAATGGGTACTAAATACTCCTCACTCACACAGAGCTTACAGATGATTTGACTTCTCCTCCAAGAAACCGCCAACATCCCTCAGTGCACGGACAGACTTGATAAGTTGAAGATTATTCTCTGAATTCCATTTAAGGTGGTGGCGGGTATGGGGCTGCCTGAAGGTAGTAGGTGGAAACCCTAACCCTAATGGGTAAACAGAGGAGCTACAGAGGTAGTAGTGGATCAAATCTGTGCAGGTCCAGCCCAGCGGAACACACTAAATTTCTTCCATCAAAACAGGCAGGGGTGACAGCAACAGCAGCTCACTGAGAACAGGATTTCTGCTCTACTCTTGCATAAAGGTATCAACCTCTACTTGCACCCTAAAACTTTAACATAATAACAAAAAATTGTTCACCTGCACGTGGTCGCGTTACAGCTTCACAGTGAGCCAGCTCCCATCCTACACAGTCATCCTCATTCCTCCAGCATTCTGGAATGCCATACCTCCATGGGAAGCTGGAAAGTTAAGATGGCATCTTTCTGCCCAACAAAACAGGAAAACAAACAAGCGAGGCTACATTCATTTTGCTGGGTATAACAAAGGAAGTCCAGGGGCTTGCTGCAGACACTGACAATCAAAGAAGCTGTTTCCCAGGAACTTAAGAGACAATCTTAGCACTGACAGCACTGCTGCCCTCTTTTCTTTTTGCATGGTTCTGGGAAGTAAAGTGAGCAAAGAAGGTATTGGTCACCTCCAGCATGTTGGCTATTGGCTCTGGAACTAGACATTCCCACGTGGCCCTTTTCTGTCCTCAAGGAGGTACTACACGAGTTCTGTGATACACAGCACTGCACAAGCAAACTTCTCAACGGGATGCTCAGACGTCGTCCCTCTGCTTGAATTTCTGCTATTTGCTGCAAACAAATCAGGAGGGCAATGAGAAAAAACAGGTTAACAAGTTACTGAATTAGGCCACGCCTCTACCAAAGGGCAGGCAAATTTAGATATTTCTGAGCTTACACATTTGTTGTTGGCAGCAACCAGAAGGTCTGGCTTTGCCTGAGCCGAAAGCAGGCTGTGACCATCAGCTGTGCGGTTAAAGCATTTTCACAGCATCCTGCACTCCCAGAAGGCCCGAGGTCAATGTGCTGCAATCCCAGGAGTTCTCAGGCTGCCCATCAAAGGTTTTATTTTCAGCATGAAAACGTATACGGTGATTCTCCCTTTGTGCACACGCGGAGGGCAAAAACCCTCCAGAGGGAGCAGATCCCAGAGGAGCCTGCAAGAATTCTTAGTCATAAACAAAACGTGCTACTTAAGAACAGCAGTCCCTCCAAGTGAAATGGAACTTGCTGTTAAGGTAAGGTAACTGAAATTAATACCAACATGAGAGTGCCAAAAATTAGATCTGCAGCTCAAAACCAGTAGCCAAACCCACTCCCCACAGCAGCACTTTATGAACATTGAAACACACTTTTAAACAGAACAAGCATAAAACAAGTGTACAAATCTGTAATAAGTCAAACTTTATTGTAAACCATTATACAATGTAATTACATCAGATACCCTTAAAAGTTTAAGGTAACACCACTGATTTAACAATATGGTCCAAACAGAGGGCAGCAGAATACAGCTGTTGGTTTTGCTCACATAGGCTATACTCTGAATTTACTTACAAACAAACCCAACATTCAGTTTGAGACGGATACCCACGCAAGACAAACACACCTACAAAAGAGTCCCTTTTTTAAAGATACTGCAGTTTTACTTTGTAAAACCATAGTAGTAATTTTCAGTAATTGAACTGGAAACTTTACCTAAAAAAAGTCTGCACGCCTATGCTGTGGCTCTACTCTGACTCGATGTGCCTGAACATACTCACTTTCATTACTGCTTTCTCCTGTAAAAAGCACAGCAAAGTTGCAAACGTGGGTTAGTCAAGCACAGTGGCAGAAATTCCTTGTGATGCTGAGCTCTAGGCAGAGCCCATGCCTCCCTCCCCAGGCACAGCTGGAATGAGAGCAGACACCTGCGGAGGGGATTGCTTTGCATTGCTCTAATTTGCAACTCAGTTTCTGAGTTTTCCCTGAAGAAAAGCTATAGTACATTTTAGTTAGCAACATTAACAAACAGCATTTACCTACTTAAAGAAAGACAAGGGGACTTGAACATATTAAAGCCAGAACTTGAAAACCACATCTTAGACAGCACTAGTGTTTTAAGTTTATGCAGATGTGTCACAGATTCTAGAAACAGTTAATACATTTGGGTTGACCATTAGTGGTAAATTCAATCTCCGCTAACACTTCTGTGTCTCTTCTTTAAGTTACAATCCCTTTCTCTTACTTCAGCATATCCTACATAGCTTATTTTCATTAAACAGAATCCCATTTCTTAAGCACAGCCTGAATTAAACCTTTCCTATGAGCTGTCATGAAGTACGTTTACCAGGCACAAATTTAGAGCAATAATTCGAGGATACTGCAAAGTCATCATGTTCTAGTACTACTACTGGGCCAACTCTTTATGAAAAGTTTATTTCAGACTGTACAGCCAACACATTTCAATGAACAGTAAAACATAGTGAAGCACGAGGCACATACTTCCTTCTCCCACATACAAGCTCTGCACACAGAGCACTTGTGCTGCTTGCACCTACTACATGAATTCCAATTTTTATCTTATAAAGAGAGAAACTGCCAATTTTACATTTCCATCTCTTTAACATAATAAAAAGGAATGAATAGGAAAAAAAAACCCACCAACAAAACAAACAATTCCTACCCAGTTTTTGTTACTTGGCTAAGATTGTAAATAAATTTACCTTAGTAGAGAAGGGTAGAGCTGTTTTCCCCCCTCCTGTTACTACTGTGGTATTCAAAATACTTCTGTCTCTTTGGCTCACAGTGCTTTACTACATCATCTTGCTAGGCATATCAAAATCTCAAACCAAGTGACATTAAAGCACTTAAGACATGAACAATTAGGCATTCATATAACTTTGCTACAAACATCTTCAAGAAACTGCTCCATAGTGCTTTACACTGTTTTGTAGTTGGTCAGTAAGTTTGAGGTCTGCTCAAAACAAACATTTTTACATGATTAAGGCCATAATTTTATACTAACAGTTCACAGACTAAACATGAGACTAGAAACAGAAATAATTCGATAATTTAGGTAACTGGAGAAAAAGAGGGTAAAAGAAGATAAAATGAAAACTCATACAGTTAAATTTGTGTGTGCTGCTCAGTTACCTCTGATGGCTGACGAGGACAGCAAGGGCTGGGCAGTGTTGAACAGCTTTATTTCACTACCTGAAATAGAACAAATCCTACGCTAAAACATTAAAATGCTGACATCTGCAACAAGAGCCAGTCCTAGCTGTTAAGCCCCTTCCAAAAAGTGAGCTGTATGAGACTATTCTGTGCATGAAAATGAATTCTTTGAAGTACTGTGCTTTTGGAGATATGCGCCCGCCCAGTGGTACATAGTCAGTGAAGATGCAAGTCACAATCAATGAGAAAAAAACACCAACAACCAACCCCTAAAACAGAGGCAACACTGATTAGGGACATATTCTAAAGGGGGGGGGGGAATAACTCAATTAAGCTTCCATTGTCCTTAGTTTCTAGATTTAGTCTAAAAGAAACACTAAAACTTATTGCAGTTATTACATGTCAGTGCACAGTAACAAAGGTCAGTAGCTCAACTAAACGAGCAAATATTAGGGTTGGTAAAATGCCCCGTCTAGCTGGCCGGGCACCTGAAGTCTCAGAGCACTCTGGTCACCTCAGCAGCCAAGCAATGAAAAGCAATGCTGGAATAGTGAAAATAGGTACGGGAGCGCACAGTTCAGTATTTACTAAGGCCCATTTAAGTGGTCTGGATAATAAATCACATTAAGACCTAGTAAATCTATAAAAAAATGTAAAAAAATCTTAAAAAGTTCTGAGCAGTTTTCCAATGAAACTGTTTGGTTTAAGGCTTGGATCATTTCTGATGTCCAGATACTACAACAGATTTGCAGTTAAGGTCTGTTGTCACCTCTTTGACACATCGCCTTGTCCTGCACAAGGTTTGACTGAGCAAGGAAAGCTGTCAGAAACAATCATTGAGAAAACATGCAAAGCTAAAGGATGTCACTGAAAACATGCTTGCCAGGTTTCAGATCAGCACGTGTTGTCAGTTATGAGAAGACAGACACTGAAAATCACAGGAATTCTGGAGTAGCAATTGTGTTATACCTCTTGGGATTTTTCTTAAGGACTAAAGGATAATCAGACTTTATGGAAATTAAACAGGAGAAATCTTTTTTCAGGATATTAAAAAGAAGACTGCTTTTCCAACAAAAACCAAGGAACAGAATTAGTTGCGCTATTACAGCACAACTGCTTCAGTCAGGTCACCGTCTTGTACCATGGGCCCTATATAACAAAAAGCATAAGGAACATTCCATCTCTTCTGGGTCATTTGAGAGGTATGCACAAGAGACTTGCAGAAACAAATAATTACAGTCATCCATAGACACTAGTTTCACAAATAACCTATCACAACAGATTTTTGTTATACACTAAAGTGCACGTTTGTCAAATATGCAAACACCACCTCCTATTAAAAAAGGTATTGTCAAATTATGTGGTCAGAAGCACACTTAGAACTGCATTTTTTTGTGGTATTTGGTGACTTCAGCACTGACAGAGCTCTTCTCTCTGCAATCCCTTTGTCTTAAACCAGGACACAAGGATAAATAAGATTTTTACTACAAATCTTTTGACCTGCTCTGCACAAAAAAAGGGAACTGCACCCTTTTTTCTGACAAAGAGAATCTTTAAATACAACTGTATGAAAATATAACTTAAATATAAAATAGTCAAATAGATTTGAGGAGACTTGGAAAAAAATCTTTGTTCCACCTATTAGTTCCATAGGTACCCGGTAGCAAGTAAACATTTGTACTTAAAAAAATAACGTTAAGTTACAGCTTGTAACCATAAACTATTCTGCTCTAGGAATTATGCTGCAAAAGCCAGTTTTAGTAATAAAACACACTCCTTTAACTTAGTTGATTCTGATGCCTTTTCGAGAACATCTTAAACTGCACCATCGGTAACCACAAGTGAAAGATTGCTGCATCTGCTTCCTGGGATCTTCTCTGACGTGTCAGATACAAATCCCCTTAGCGACTAGTCCTTAACAACGCTGTATTTTTCACACATGATGGAAACACATTCTTGCATATTGGTCAGTGTGTCTGTAGTGCAACTGAACTGGAAGCCTTCCAACCATCTGCGTTCTGTTGGTAGACCTTGCTTTTAAGTCACTTTGTATGAAAAGGGAGACGCAATTGCAACATTAAACGCCACCGACTGAAGTTTTTGCCATGAAACCTGCAAATACACAGGTCAGGGAATTTGTCATACAGGCAGACCAAAGCGATGCTTCTTCTTTTTAATGGGTTTTAAGTTGGTCAGTCTACGCAAGTCCTCTTCAGCATCTGATTCCTCCATCTCATCGTCTGCTGAAATAAGGATCTAAAAACAAATTACAGTTTCTGAGTAACATGGATCAAAGTCACACTCTTTCTTCGTTCTACTTTTAACCTTTTTTCATGCTTGCAAAGTACCTTATTGTTTACTCAAGAGCAAGCTTACAGAACACAGTTTGGTTTTACTGCCAGTACCATCAAACAACATCAGACATCCCCTCTGGAACCTCTAGTATATTTCAAAGAAAGATGCATATGTATTAATGTCTACTACAGTCACTGACTCTAAACCCAAAGAACTGATAAAGAAAACCCCATATAAATAGTACTGTCTGTAACACAGAAAAGTTATGTTAACCACCTAAAGCTAACTTACCTTCTAAGATACCACACATCATTCATCTGAACTGAAAACTGCCCACTTAATATAATTTAGAACAAAATTATGCTAAAGCAAGGATATAAATACTTCTCCAAAGTCAGGACAGTTGCCTCCACCAGCTTCCTCTCTTTAAGCTTTAAACTCTCTAAGCTAGAATTGTCTATTAGTTTTGTATTCTGTGTGGGCTTTCTCAGAAGCATCTGTAACACAGTTCACCTCTGATATTCACACATATTATGATGTCTTCCTGCTGGTCTGGAGAGAAGATAACTACCATTAGTGGTGCAACAATGCCATTCTGCTGAACTGGATTTCAACTGCAAATGCTAGGAACTACCATTAGAAGTACATGAGGGATGAACTGGATTGATACTGTATTAATTGCAATAATTAACTGTACGTACTTCTGACTCTGACTCTTCATGTGATGCTGCTCTCCTGTATCGGACTTTACTTCCATTTCTTGAATCTTGTCCTGCTTCCTTTTCTTCAAGTTTAGCTTTTGTCTTCCCTTTCTTCATAAGAAAATTATCTACTACCCAGAACATTAATGCCTGTTAAGGACAAGGGGGAAGCGACAGTTCAGTGTTCCTCAGAGTAGTACATGTTCATTTAGTCAGTATTTGGATAGAATTAGGAAAACTTGGCAAAAATTGTGAACTGGCCAAACAGGTACAATCTTTTACAGGCATAGCTGATTACACACTGCATGAATGCTCTAGAAAACAGCTACTTTATTCCTTTATAGGACAGAAGAAAATAAGAAAAGTAGCTGTTATTCAGAGTGATCATATATTAACTTTTCACGTAGAAATGTGACCGGTTTAGACAGACGTCTTAGTACAACAGACTTTAGGTTCTCAAAGGATAAAATCAATGCTTGAACAAACTGATGAAAGAAAAGAAAACACACCGGCAGTTATTAAATACAAGGACACCCACCACCTCTGGTTCTAGGCCCTAAATCCCAGATTGCTAGGAGAGTTTACTTTGGGAAGGATGACTGCTCACTTGCCCTTTTCTTCTGCTCTGTCATAGGCCAGCCACTATTTGCTATGGTCAGACACAGGATACTTCACAGAACAGCTATCCTTAGACCAACTGTTTCCCAAAGCAAATTTCATTGTAATTTTATAACCTCTATGGCAGTATTTCAGTATTACATTCAATCTACTGAAGTCATCATGCCAAAGAAGCATTTCTGCACCTCTCCTGAGCCTGGTTACTTGGCTTAATACGGATTTCAGCTTTGTAAAATCTACGTAGCCAGACATCTTATTCATTCTTTAACACCCTTCCTCTTGAGAACTTAAGCACCAAGGTACACTGTGCTTTAAGGACTAATGTTAACTAACAAACACACGGCTGAAAGATATCCAAGTAAACATCTCACAGAAGCATGAAAGTTGTACTAACATTAACAAAGAAGGGAACTATCAGCATGACGATAGCCAGCTCCAGCTGGGGGTTCTCTATAGGGTTCAATAAAGCTACCTGTGAAAAGAAAAGGATTAAGTTCAAATCATAGCAGCATGTGCACATAACTGGATTAGTAAGTGCAATTGTTCATGTACCAGCTATTGCTACAGAAACAATTCATATGAACCAAAAAAGGACAGCTTTGCAGAAAAGGAAAGTACTTAGGACAGCTTGTAAATCACCACAGATACTAAGCGGGGCTGGCAAGAAACTTCTCTCTGTCACGTTTGTTTACAGAAGTCTGAAAAGCTGTGTTGGAATCATCCCGAACATTTCAGAGCTGCACGTTCCCCAGGAACGGAATTCATAAACAGAACAGAGATTTACAAAACACACAAGATGGGTCCCAAAGTAGTCCAGAACGCACAATAGGACTGACTGGTTTTAATGGGCTATAACACTAGGCACTATTACTTTGAGTAATACATTGCCCACGTTCTGTCAAAATTGTTATCAGCAATGGCTTCACTAATCCATTGCAAGTTTCTAAAATTTCATAGTCTACATCTATTAAAAAGGTCAAGCAAGGAAAATCCGTTAAAATACTGCAAATCCAAAATAGCTGTAAGTAAGGGTTAAAGAATTAAGAAAAAGAAGAATGACTTTGGGGCTTCAAGAGCACTCAGACAAGGAGACAGAATAAAATTTTAGATACTGCAGTATATAAAACCCCCTCCAAAATATGGTGGGATGCTCCTGGCAATGGATGCCAGAAAGCCTAAGTAGTAGCCTTAACTAGTGTCCTAATCCAACAAAACCAACATACCAGTACCAGAGTTACATGGCATTGACTGTAGATAGTTACGATGCTTGAGCCAAACCAATAAACACTATTAGAAGTCTATTGCTTTACAGCTTCCACCTGAAATTCATGTCTGTAAAATGCTGTAAAAATACAAACCTCTTTCCACTGAGGTATAAGCAGCACTATAATGATGATGGTTTTCTCAAATGTCATAATCAATATGTACAGAGCACATTGGCCCACCCAAGCAGTGCACTGCAGTGGGTCACCTGCAGGAAAGAAGAAAGGTTCTATATATGCACAGGGTTGATTTGACTTCACAGTAAACATTTTAGATAAGCAGTATAAGAAGAGGCAGGGCAGCTATGTCCTCTTAAAGTGCCTTCTCCAGTCTCCTTGGTGCTGCTCCTTCCCCTCCCTCAGCCTCACAACTTGCAGAAACTATCAGTTAGAACCTGAATGTAACAGGACTTCATCCAGTTCAGCAGTACCTGGTTATACGCTCATTGTTTTACATAATGCTGATGGAAGCAAGACAGACATGGCTGTGTTACTTTTGTTTCTCATCAAATTGTTATTCTTGACCCTCTACCATGAAGCATTAAGTTTCTTAATAGGGAAACATAGCTGAAGAAAAACATATATCCCTTTAGTCTAAGCAGAAAGGTGAAGATTTCTGCTGCTCTCCCAGTGCTACCTTAAACGTATTTTTTTCTCTCTACAAAGTTGGTTACCATAACTAACCAATCATAACTGAAGCAACAGATGCAAGAGATGCTATGAAGAATTTAACTGAACAAAAAAATTAAGATGATCACATTTTAGTTTCAATCTGAAAGGGTCTGAAACTCTACAGCACTCATTGTGGCAGAGTGAAAACCTGAGTCTATTAAGTTATCTGTCAGGACAGAACAACAAATATTTGAACATGAAAACTTATGTAGACTACTATGAAAGCAATGAGAGAGGAAAGGACAAAAAAATAAAGGGATAAAAGAGGACTGATAAGCCCAGCAAGCTTCACAGGTGAGGTTAAAGCAGCACTTCACTGGAAACCAAAAGGAAGCTTTGGAGGGAGGTGTTAGCTCTTTGTTCTTCACAATAGCTTCCACATCTTCAAAGCCAGCTTAAAACTCATGGTCTGGGGATGAACAATTAAATAAAATTCAGATGCTTTTATGTATTTGTAATGCAGAGTGGAGAGTTGCTACTTCCTTTTCTGAAATATTTCTGAAAGGCTTTCAGTATTAATACCTGGTAATAGTCTTGAGACTTACTGTTTGCTGCTTAAATGCTATGAAGAAAAACATGAATCAGACTGGGGTCCAAACCAAAGAGAACTTTCTAAACAAGTTTTACAGTAAGAGCCAGCGATCAACACTCAACGGCCCAAGAGGGAAATGGTTTAAATGCTCAAGTTTTGCTGTTATACACCAGAGTTTATAGCTTCTGTTTAAAAAAAAAGTTAGAAAATTGAAGAAGGGAACCATCAGTATCTAAGTTGAGCAACTGTGATTCTGCTGAAGACACAAGGCCTGAATCAGATTTGAGAATTACAGCTTAGCAATTAATTTCCATACTCCACATTTTTATTAGCATTCTCTAGCTTTATTAACTACCTTTAGCTACAGATCTACCACTGAAACTTTACCGGTTTATTCTAAGCTCTTTTCCAACCTGTATTTCATTTATAAAAGCACAGACAGCTATAGCAATTTGCACCTATTCCAACTCTGTCACATGAGATTTCTGAACGTCCAGGAATTGTGAAACTCTGTATTAAGAGTGTTGTGCGCTATCGCCAGTGAACGTTTTGTTCAGTGGTGGTTTTGTGGGGAGGGTTGTCTGTTTTCCTTGGTGTACGACTGAAATTAGACATTGCATATGTTACATTCTACCTAAGGGTTTTGTGTGCCCTACTGCTTCTACAAAATGATCTCTCAGCTCTAACTACAAGCAGGGACACAGGGGTGTTCTTTACTTTGAATTTACCAAATCTTTTGACAACGTCCCGAAAGCACCCCGTAGGTAAGTTGAGGAGATATGGATTGGATGGGTGCATGTACAACGCTGACAGAAAGCAAAAAACCTTTCACAGTGGCAATGGTTAAGCACTGGAGTAGGTTACTCAAAAGGGTTCTTAAATATTAAACCATGGATAAATTAAAAGCTGGACTGGAGCCACCCTGAACAACCTGCTGCAGCTTTGAAGTTAACCCTGCTTCAAGCAGGAGGCTGGATCAGATGATCTCTGGAGAAAATTTCCAACCAAGCTTTTTTTTTTACCATTTTATAAACTATGCAATTCAAGGGGAAAAGTGGAAGTTAATAACATCACCAAGGAGGTGCTCCCAAGAATATCTGCGACATTTGTACATTCAAAGATTCAAATGACAATGCTCCTGTTGAAACCATAAAGCTCCACTTTCTAAAGTCTGACAGTCTCTCAAATTCTGATTTTATACCAGTCACGTATGAACTACATGTCTAGAATAAAACAGCAAGTCAGAAGAAATCTTACTGCAAGAAAAAGTGCATAAAGACTGAAACCAAAAAACGCTGAATCTTCAGTGGCAACTGCTGGGCAGAGAAAAACTAGTCTGTAGTAGCATAAGCTACCTGCATCAGCCACTTTGCAAGTTCATGTTTACAGACAGCTCTTGAACAAAATACCTGTGATTCTTCTGTCCTGGAACTTCTCTCTGTTGCTCAAATCCCGAGAAGTTTTCTCAAGAAAATGCCAAATCACAGAACTACTCCAAAATAAATTACAGAAGTTTTAAAGTAAGTCCCATCTACCCCATACAGCTCTGCAAGTCACAAAGAGCTAGGAGGGAAGAGATGCATCAAAGGCAATTTCTAAGCTTTGCCATCTGAGAAGCAAGGACAAGGAAAGAGACCACAGCACGATTTCGCTGCCAATAGAGCTCGTTGTCCCCAAGAGGGATTTGGTCACCTGTTTTCTACTCACAGCAGCTAAAGCAGCCTAAGACAAGAAGGGAAGGAGAACGCAGGGAACATTCTTCTTGCTACAGATCATAACTGTTCTTTACATACTCAAACATATTAACTGATTTTGCACTTCTATTAAAAATCCAGCTGCTGATGTAAGGAATCTGAAATCACAAAACTGGAAATATGAAGACAACTCTAATACTTTAAAACGCTGACATAAAAAAGCCCTGGAGGGAGTGCCATGCTACTTTGTTCAGAAATGAGCATGCAGCGCTGTTTTGCTGTACAAACAGCAGCCATTTATGAATGCTGGTATCTGGTATCTATTCTTTCCTTGAGGCATTTATGTTGAAAAACTGTCCTCCATATAAAGAAGAGGCTTTTAAAGCCAGCAGGACACTGCTATTTTTGTGACAGCTTCAAGTAGTGAATCACCAGGGATCAAGTAATAGAGCTAAGAAGGGAAATGAGCTCACAGTGAGAATTAACTTGAGACAAATGATTATTTAGGCTCTAGAAACATAAACATGGCCCAATCACAAGAAGAAACTTGTTAGGGGTGTGGGGGACACATGGGACTGCTGTTTGCCCCTGCTTGCAAACAAACTGAACTCACTCTGATCTCCAAGCTGAGGACTTGACTTTACCACTTCAGACAAACCACCACAACTTCCCGATACCTCTCAACAAGCAGAGCCTTCACCACCCATGCATGCTAAACATCCGTATTTCATTTCAAAATACTAAGTCTAAATACACTTGTGACCCCACAGGACTAAACTTTAGCTCCCTCTTCTACCCTACTTCATTATTTTAAATAATCTTATGAAAAATAAGTTTTCTTGGGGCCAAAGGGAAAAATTTTAAATAAACTGGTGACATGAAGGTTGTTACATCAGAAGCAACAGCAGTATTTAACAGGGCAGCAAACAATCCAATGCAACTTGTCCTTTCAGGCAGATTTCTAACACAGTCTAACCCTACTAACCTCACAGCCATTTCCAATAACTTTCCATCTGCTATTTGTCTTTATACCAGAAGGCTCTCCCACATGATTAACAGAAATCAGATTTACAATATGGTTTTTAATAGTCTTTATGATGGCTTGACTAAAACACCAACACGCTAAGGCTGGGACAGCACATTAATGAAGATACAGAAAAGAGTCACTAATAAAATGATCTGATATTGGAAAGAACAACTAAGTAAAGAGGACTCAGACAGTTTCATACATAGCTTACACACACACACACACAGAAATACTTCGAATCACAGAATAGTTAGGGTTGGAAAGGACCTTAAGATCATCCAGTTCCAACCCCCTGCCATGGGCAGGGACACCTCACACTAAACCATCTCACCCAAGGCTCTGTCCAACCTGGCCTTGAACACTGCCAGGGATGGAGCATTCACAACCTCCCTGGGCAACCCATTCCAGTGCCTCACCACCCAACAGGAAAGAATTTCCTCCTTAGATCCAATCTAAACTTCCCCTGTTTCAGTTTGAACCCGTTACCCCTTGTCCTACCACTACAGTCCCTAAGAATAGTCTTGAAGGCTGCTCTGAGGTCTCCACGCAGCCTTCTCTTCTCCAGGCTGAACAGCCCCAACTTTCTCACCCTGTCTCCATACAGGAGGTGCTCCAGCCCCTGATCATCCTCGTGGCCCTTCTCTGGACTTGTTCCAACAGTTCCATGTCCTTTTTATGTTGAGGACACCAGAACTGCACACAATGCTCCAGGTGAGGTCTCACAAGAGCAGAGGGGCAGGATCACCTCCTTCGCCCTGCTGGTCACGCTCCTTTTGATGCAGCCCAGGATACGGTTGTTTTCTGGGCTGCGAGCGCACACTGAAGCCGGCTCATGTTCATTTTCTCATCAACCAACACCCCCAAGTCCTTCTCTGCAGAGCTGCTCTGAATCTCTTCTCTGCCCAACCTGTAGCTGTGCCTGGCTTGATAAACAAGATCTTCTGATTCAGAATGATAATAACAGAGCAGTTGCAGCCCACCTCCACCACAGAACACAAGTAACAAGGTCCCCTTGTTGATTTTAAGGGCTGAGTTGCTCCATTCACAGATGCCTCACAGCTAATTAAAATAAAATCAGGTTCATTTTTGAAGTCAGAGACAGAATGAATACACTCCCCACATCTTCCCATCCACACAGACTTCTTCTTGTTAGAAGGACATGGAAATGAGAACAGACTACAGAAAAAAAAAAACAGAATGCTATTTCTTAGGAAGAAATAAAATCTGGTATTTGATGTGATTACAAACACCTATGTATAATTTTAATAGATACACCAAGTTTCTTTACTCTGAGTGGAAAGCCAGTTTTATATGGGCTATAATCTGTCTTTAAATGGCTTCAATCCAACCAGCTATCAGAAAATAGGACTTTGGGCAACAGTCTCAAAGCTCTGTCAGAAGGGATATCACAACAGTGTCTCAGCCCTCTCCTTGCCCTTTTCCCTTCCCTGGGCATTGCTGCTTATTTAAACCCTTAGAGACCCAAGTCTGGAGACTGATCTGGGGGAACTATTTACTCTTCTACATATGGTGAAGTTTCTGATGGTTCTGCTCTCTGAATCAGTTCCATGAAGAGTCAGATGTTCACCAGGCCAAAGAAAAGAGTGTATATACTGGACTGTGGCATGTGGCAATAAAAAGCAGATAAACAGAGTTGTGACACTGCTGATTTAAACAGCTTGAATGGCCACAAATGTTACCCTAAAAGATACACATTAAATCTACATAAATCTAAGAAAAAAGAAGAAAAAAAGCCCTAATGGTGTAAACAGTTATTTCTCCTAAGATAGATGCTTGTCATCACCACTATTTTAAACCTCTGGCATTAAAGCAAATAGCAGTTAATGCTATTCAGTTGTAAACTTCCCAAGCTCTTGAAATAGTTCATCTTGGCAAGGCCTTTACTTACTTGTTCTTAATTCTGTCAGCCACTTAGGATCATTAAAACTGAAGAAACCTACAGATCCTGAAAGCCTACCAACGATAACTATTGAATTGCTATGAAAGCTTTTACTTATCTTTTTTTTCCCCCCAAACCATAGGGAATTTTTATTTGCTTCTCTCTGATGAAGAGCCATAACTGCTGTCTTATGAGGCAATCTCTCCACCCATTCCTATCTCAAGGAGCTTCAAATGTAATTTTTAGCATCTATACAGAACTTCCATTCCCCACCAGCCAGACTAAGCAATCTGAAAATACCAGGTTGAACAGAATTAAATGTTGATGTGTATGATACTCATTTGCACCAGCAAATCCACAACCTGTGCACATCAGTGGACTTCCATGGCTAACATAATGGAAGATAAACCCCACAGCTTCATGTGAAAGTGATTTCACTAGCCTATTCCCTAGCCTGCTGGAAAGACATGCATTTTTCATCAATGATACAAACCCTGCATGCAGGAGCTTGAGTGATCACTACTTTAAGACAAGCACAGGTCATCTTGCCATTCTCTTCACTGAAGGTACGTGGCTGTTCATTTTAAAGAGGGCTGGCAGAGCTCTTAGCCCATATCATCAGACAATGGCATGCGGTTCAGTGAAGGCTTTAATAGGAAATGACCTTCCACCTATCATTTATTTAAAAGTGCTTCAGAGTAAATGTATCAGGCTGTTATTTTTTCCACGACATCAGCCGCTATCGCAATTTGTTCACCACTCCCAGAAAATAAAAAGGATGTTCAAGCAGTTGGTGTGAACTTGCTAAATGCTTAGAGAGTTGCTGAGCTTTCTAACGCAGAAGATGCATGCCGAGATATAGAATTTAAAAGAACCCTTATGAGAAGTCAAATGTTAAGGTGACCATTATAATCACTGTTTAACGATTTTAAGATGAGTTAACCATTAGCTGAAATATTCTGAGATTCCATCCTGAAAGTCATTTCAGTGCAAGAACAGAAACATTTACCATATTCACCAAAGCGAAGGGACTCCCACTGCTGCCACTCCACAATGCTGCTGACTGCACGTATACCAATGTAGATTAACAGCATCCCTAATGTGGCATCTAACAAGAAGTTGATAAGGTACCTGAAAGGAAAAATGCAAAAGAAAACAAGGAGCAGGGTCCATTTTATTCAAGGTTTAGGGTATTTTAACACCGTGATGGCTAGAAGATCTGTACATATGTTGAGAAGCCAGAATATCGAAAGTAATAATTTTCCAGCGTCCATAGTGACATTATTAGCCTAAAATTTAAACAGGCTTAGAAGAGTCTCAATATTTTGTTCCTGTCAATGTTAAGCTCCAGCCTCTATTTTCATGCGTGCACCTACGTACTCTATATAAATGCCAATATTAATTTTACTCCTTTAAATTAAATCCAGATTTCCATTTCACTGTTGCTCAGGTCACTCTGCATGGAAAGCCTGCCTCTGAGCAAAATTAAAGGAAGAAGAGGAAAAGGAATCTTACTTCTGCTTCAAGCAACTGGAGATCACTACGAGTTTCAAATTAATTCTTAAGTTCATTAAATGGTTCACCTGAAATTCAGAGCATTTTGTAAGTGAATCTGGTTTTTATTTGCTATCACCAAATGTACTGAATGAAACAGCAGGGGAGAAAGAGCCAACCATAAGACACACAGTAAATCCCTGCTACTGAGATTCTTGTTTGGTAATTCCAAATAGTTAAGGTAAACTCTAGAGCTATAGGAACTTATCTGCACAGATAAAAATAGCAAATCAGAGAACTGTGGGCTTTTGCTAGCTGTGGAGCAAATCCCTGCGGACAAAACTAGGAGAAAATGGAAAGCAAAGAAAGAGTATGTGCGTTCAGATCAGTAAAGGAGCAGTTGCTCTGACCCCCAAAATCCCATTCAAGAGCAGCTCAAGAATACAAATGAAGCGCTCATGCCCTTATTCGGCCAAGACTTACCCATAAACTTTCAAAAAATAAAATAAAATAAAAATAGTTATTTTCTAATAGCTGTGTGTCTAATTGGAGTTGTAATGAACTTCGTATTGGACAAACATTAAACCCAAAGTTTAGGGTCTGGCAGAGGAACGGCAGCATTCACAAGAACACAAGTCATTCTAAGGCCACAAGGGGCTGCTCTAAGTCTACAGCAGTAAGGCAGCCATGAGGAGCAGGGAGAAGAGATGTGCCAGTGCCAGCACCTATTTCACATCAAATTACAGAGCAGGCCAAGTACGCCCGATATTCCCAAGCACATCAGGCTCGGGACACGTAGGTAACATGCTCATTCTGTCATGCACCGCATTAACCCTGCTCAGGTGTCACCGGGGCACTGGCACTGATAACAAAAGCTGCTGCCACTATCAGATAAATGCATTTGGCTGAGTTCAGTGAGTAAAAGGCTGGGTTCATACAACCTTCCCCGTGTGCCGTGCACAACCAGCCCACTGCCCTGCACTACACAAGGAGGGTGCCGTTTGCTTGCTCTGCTTAAAATCCTTCAACCAACCACCCAGGTGTTTCAACAGATGTTTTATCAGCTTTGCTATTATCCCACACCTGCCTGAACTACAGCACTGCATTTCCAAACACAAATGGCAACTTTCAATTGTAGGTGCTTTCCAAGCTTTGAACCATGATGCTTTCCAAATGTACATTTTCTGGGTTTGCTCTGAAAACAGCCCACAAACTACAAACCAGGAAAGAACATAAAACTACCCATGTTTGAATTTCCTCAGCAACATTATTACTATTTAAAGTCACAGACAGAAACATGGCTTTTACTCACTAATTTTGACCCACTTGGCACTTAGAATATAATTTTCCCAAGTGGCTTTGGTTAATACTACATCCTATTTTTTCTGCTAACAAGGAGGACCTTGGACCCTTGTCCAAGAAATTATATTGTTACCCTGAGAACAGTGAAGAACAGCTCTCTGCCTCATCCTCTTGGTCTGTATCATGTTACACTTACAAGAAGTGGCATCTGAAAATAAAGCTATGTAGAGCGCACTAAAACGTGTAGAATGGAACACGTTAGGAAGCCTTTCATTTTGAAAACTCAGCACACAGCACAGCTATTGTCAATTTTAAAATACTTGAGCTCTACCTTTAAACGCTGACACTTTTAGGCGAGCTGGGGTAAGCTTCCTCAAATATATATTTCAATATATAAAACCAGAATGAAAGCAACTTGCACCTGCCAGTTTTTAAACCTATCAGGGTAAGCAAGGGAAAATCCTACAATGATGCCTGATATTACTGTAACTCTCAATTATAATTTAAGCTTTACCATTATTGTGTTAAAATAAAGGCATTTTCCCCACCACAATGGTTTATGGAGGGAAGAGAAAAGCAGTGTTTTACTTGGTGATTTATAGCGTATAAGAACGCAGAAGAAACTGAGGAAGAATAAGAGAAATAAAACAGGCTTGTGAAGCAACACAAGCATTTCCTTGGGCTGTGTAGCTTCTTTGTTTAGGAAAGGACAACAGTGAGCAGATGCCATTGAAGGATCTGGATTGCTTTTAAAGGGCACATTATCAGGCTTTTTAAAGTAATTTCACAGCTTCTATTACCAGGAACGTGTAAGCTTCTTTCAGCATAAGCCCTACAAAGAACAAACCCAAACAATTACCATTTGCTTCAGGAGCTCCTGTAAAGAGCCTGGCAGGGTCCTAGTCATAAAATCTTCAGGTTTAATATACTACAGTGAAATGCTTATCTACTTAGTCACACTGCTCCAAGCGTGACATTGCAAGATTAATTTGTGCACTAACTGCCTGGGTGCAGAGCAATATTTCCTGTTTTAACCTAATGAAATAATACTGCAGTAGCTACTGTAGGGTTTAGAAGAAAATACAAGCATGAATGATTTTTGCTAAGGATCCCTGAAAGCAACCTGACTTTCTATTAAAGTCTTGCTGCATTGAACAGCTGGAGGTCAGCGGACACAACTTCATATTCATTTCCTTTGGTCCCTAGCACCTCCTCCAGCAGACTCATGTTACAGCCTGCATCCTAAATTCTCATTCATTAACTGGAGGGGGGGAAGCAGTAAGAGTTTACTCTTGGTCTAAAATATCTATAGACAGCCCCCCCCAAAAAAAACCTCTCTCAGGTCCTGCCAGCTGTGAACTAAAAAGAGCAGAACTCTGATCCTTGATTAACTCAGGTTAAGGTACAGGTTTTTGAAAGTGATTTCTACCATGAAAATAGGTTGCTCAGCCCTGTCTTGCATTATGGCCCAGGTACACCACCAAACACAACTGCAGAGCTTCCATAAAGACCAATATTCCGAATTTAAACACTTACAGTGAACAGGGGTCTTCTTCTGTAAGGTCTGATAAATAGACATTTGCGAAGTGGATGAATAACATCCCTATGGCTTGCTTGGAAGTATCTAAAAACCTGTACAGAGTCAAAACAGTTTTTAAGACAGACAAAAACGTTTACATGACAGCCAGACACTGCAAATTTATGTTAATTAAAATTCCATCTCAATTATTCATTTGTTTTCCTCAAATGAGACCACCAGAATGATGAAGTGCCCCGGAATTTAGCTTGTTTAACAATGTTCCACTTTAAATTCTGCCCCCTTTTTTTCCTTGAACATTGCAAACAATAAACCAAATCATAAACTTGAAACCTTACCATTGTAAATTTCAAGTCCAGAGATATCCTCTTGGTATCATATGTATTATTCAAGAGCTAATCCTCACTAAACCTAGCTAAGTCTTTAATAACCTTGTGTAAACAATGAGGATCCCAGTCTCATGAGATACTTCAGTCCCTTTATGCATTTTTAGCAAGTTTATGGCAGGGACAAAACCAACATCCTCATCATGTGCTTGCTGGTGAGCAGTTTAATAGCTGACTAATAATGGGTCGTTTAACTAGAGTACCTTGCTAAAAAGCTAACATCTTTCAGCCAACAGCATGAAGTGGTCTCACCGATTTTTATCTGTAGTACAACAGCTTAGACCACACTACAAAAGAATTACAACCTTGAAAATAGTTTGCTATTTACAGGGAAAAACAGAAAAAAGCACTTAAGCACTGATTCAGTATTGACTCCAACCCTTTATCATCACCCTTTGCACAAAACCAAAACTCCCAGTGGATGTTTCATTGGATGTCTCATTAGATGTTAAATAAAGGGATTGTGTAAAAAGTATTCTGTAGGCACAAGTGTGTTCTTTATAACAGACCAACACCCCTTCTGTCTGTTGTTTCCTGGTCTAAACAAAGATCCAAACGCCCCAACAGATACAAACATTTTATGCCTGAATTCATCTCCCCTCCTTAACTTAAACTTCATTCTCTTACATTCATTGCATGACACAGAAAGCAGAGTGTTGATAAGGCAGGAAGCCAGTGAGTTCCTTATCTAATCAGTATACCACACTATAAATAACAATAAGCAAGTCCCACAAGAAGACTTATTGCTTAAAAATTAAGGGTTATCACCCCACTTATCAGAATTTCAGGCTGACAGTACACAAAACTTTGTATTTATTTTTTCAATAAAATAAAGGTCAGGGTTAGTTTTGAAAAAAACAGCATTGTACGAGATGAATTTAAACCACTGAACTCTTCAACAACTGGAATGACTGCTTAACATTCACCCCAGTCTCAAAATTAGTACAGGCTGTGTTGGCATTGCTACAATCCAACAACCTTTAAGAAGTAATAAAAACAAATCTACTTTTTAGACCTTGCTTCTCTCATAGCTTATATATTTATATCTTTCATTGCACTGTTTTCTATATTATGTATAGCAGGATAGCTACAGAACATGGAATTTTGTTTAAGCCCAGCTGAGAGCTTCTTGTAAGCTTATGGAAGTTTGTACATGTTCAGATGCATCTCCGGGCAACTCCAAGTTTCCACCTTCAGAAGAAGCACAACTTGAAGGTTTATGCCTAAATGCACATCTCTGTAGAGATTCCTGGAAGTGCTTAGTAAGAAAGAACTAGCAGAGAAACACGCAGAAGAGACTCATGCATTTTGTTTTTGTTCCTCACGGTTAGTCCCCGATTTCTTGTCATCGCTTTTCTCTTCTTCAATCATCATACGCAAAAAAAAACCATTTCCTTCAATTTCTAACACATGCAAGAAACAACAAAAGTAAGAATAAAGCACGCACAAACATACCATATCCTCCAGGGACGTCGTTCATGCTTTGGTTCTCGGAAGCGTTTTACTAAGAAGAAAAAAAGAAAGCAAATAATTGAAGACAATCGGGAGCTCCCAAAACCAAAAAGTGAAAGCAAATCAGTTTGCTGAAATTGTACATTCTTCAATAAACGAGATCTTACGCAACAGCATTTCACTTTCTCAGCTCCAAGGAGAACTTTCAAAGAAACTGGCTCCCTTCTGTCACCTTCAAGTTCCTAGAGATCCATCATCTGACTGCCAATATAGCTCACTTGAAAACATCTATTACCGACACCGTTTCACTGGCCTTAGCTTTTATGACTGCCCATCCAGAAAACCTAATTTCCAATAGGAAAGCAGGTATTAGAAAAACCCATTTCTTTTGCTCACTACAGTCCAAAAGTCAAATTGGAAAGTATTCTTGCAATACAGGGGCAATCTGTAATATCACTAATAAATCAAGTGAATTAGTAACAGGACAAATGTATTCTCTGACAAAGCATATTTATTTTACGGATGACAAATAAGACTTCTGTGGGCAAAGTGAATTGCAAAAGGAAAGCAGGGCAGACGTTTTAGTCAGATAATCCCTTCACAAAAAGGTTGGTACTATTAACCCCCCCCCCCAAATCCAGTATTAAAATCAGTGCCAACTATACAAAGCCAAAGAAATAGATGAATTTGACTATTTCAATCTTGATACAGTTTACAACACAAACTGTTTGGGTATCGGACTGAAAGCTCCTCATACCCCCTGCCCTGCTACTCCCAGGTACTATCCTAGGAAATTCCATTCTTAACTCTTTCTGAGCAAGAAAACCCTTTTTCCCTACTGGGGACTCATGCTGAGCTCTGGTCAGACCTGGAGCAGGGGGCTGGGGCAGCCTCACCTCTGCCTGATCTGGCCTAACGCAGATTTGTTTTCTCTTACAGCTGCAAGATAACCAATTCCTTATAGATCATAAAGACAGACCAAAGACAATGGAGTATAGCAAACCCTTTCACTAAGGATGGGGTTTATGCATGGGTTTAACATATGGGTTTTCTTCTGCCAAAGGTTGTGTCACCCACCAGCTCCTTCCACAGACATCTTGAAAAATAATTCTTTAGGCTCTTATTTCAGTCCTCCAAAAGGTCAATAGGATTCTAACCTGGGAGCAGCAAGGAATGCAAGTTTCAAAGAGGATGCTGCATATAATGTATGCATATATTTCAGTGTGAGGTGTCCCTGCCCATGGCTGGGGGGTTGGAACTGGATCATCTTAAGGTCCTTTCCAACCCTGACTACTCTATGATTCTATGATAAATTATGCTCACCTAGCTTACAAGCCTTTAAAACACATGCTGGGTTATGAACCAATCAACTATTTCAAAACATAAGGCAATATTCCCCAAAGCCAACCTCATAGACATAATACAGCATTAATATTATTACCCAAAGGCCTTAAAATGGACAAAGAAAAATTCACCTCCAAGGTGGAGGGGCAGTGTTTGCAGGGAGCACCACGCTAACAACTGTCTGCCACCGCCTCTGACAGCAGAGAAAGAAACCAGGTTTCACCCCCCGATAACGCAACTGTTGGAAACCAAGAAGTGACAAGGAGGAACGCCTGAACACTTACACCAAAGATGAAGCTGTAGTATCAACATTTGCCAGCAGTTTAATCTGTGAATCACACGCTGTAAATACAAAACTGCTGTTGCAAACGAGCAGCAGCCAGCTAAGTTAACCACTTTGTTGTTCATGACAAGGCCTCCCCAGTCACACTATGGATCACCTTCATCAGTGACCCTTCTACACAACAAGAAGCCACAAAGCATCACAAAATAAATGCAAGAAGCAGAAGTTTCAACTTCCTGGGATTTGTGCAAGATGCAGGCAAAATGGAGATTAAACTGGTAAGATCTGAATACTTCTGGAGGAGAGGGGGGAGTTCTATGAAGAAGTTGTATAAACCTTTGAATTATTTCTTTCTCTGAAGTATTCACCAAAAAAAAAAAATCATTTTGGAAGAGAATATTCCAAACCAATTCAACTAACACCATTTCCGGGCTTATCCAGACTGAGAAAAGACTTCAGGAAGTCCATGTTTCTCCAGCCAGCTCTTGAAAACATCACAATTCATTTGAGTTATCATTAAACAGGAAAGTTAACTTTGAAAGCCTCTACAGATGTCTTCTGGGAATGTATTAAATGGCTGATCACACCAGGAACTTTATCTACCCCTCAAGTTAAATGAGACGATACGTTCAAATGCCTTAGGAGCTGCTACCTGATGAATATGTACCTGTACACTTGAAGGCCTGCTGGATCCACATGAAACAGGGTTGCTTGCTCAGCCTAGTTTCATGCAGCTGTGTCTGCAAGCATCAGGTACCTCTGACATACCCAGGTATTGCCAGGAATTGCCCTACATCCCCCGATGCAGTACGCAGGTTACGTTGCCTATGCAGCACAACACAGTATCACTTCAGGGTGGTTCAAGTTGAGAGCAATTTCACTTCTTCCTCAGCAAGGGAGCATGTTTTCTGTAGGGCTAGAGACGCTGAGGCCTTCCCACTAAGTAAATTGAGCAAAACCCCCTCAGACTGTAAATAACCACACTGGTAAGCTCAGGATTAATAGCATGTTTGCTATTAATACACTAATTTTGCAACTAAAACCCAGCAATCCCCGCCCAAGATTCTGCAAATGTTTTAGGGATCTCTCAAACTGGGGAGGGGAAAGCAATTCTTCCCCCTGCCCACCTCCAATAGATGCCATGACTGTAGCCACACTCAGCTCTCAGTTTCCCCTGGCAGCCTGCATTGCCTCACTGTAAACTCGGAGATGTGCACTGGTGTGTGTGGCAGCTGACAGATGGATCTCAATCTGGCAGCTTCTCACTGAGGAGGTGGGACCACGCCATATGCTTCAGTTCGGAGCGTTACACTCGCACTAGCAAGGATTCACCATATTTAATATTAATTAACTAATAATATTCAGAATTCCATGCTGAATTATAAATGAAGGAAGCAGCACTGCTTGTTTATACATTCAATGCCAGAATTTGTCAGGAAAGGAAATAAAAGCACTTCTGCCAACAGGCATGTGAGCTGCCAGATGGACCCATAATAGATAAGCATAGAAGGCAGAGTATTGTTAATGCAAAATCCAAGTTCATTAAATTGTCTTCCCATTTCATTGAAAGTCTAGGAATAATTAATGACAGAGTACTGTGGAAGGCTTTCTAACAGTTAGAAACAGGAGTTCTGCAATCAGTATTCCAGAAAACTGAAGATGCACAGGGTCATATAGAAGAACAGAAACAAGAAATAAAAGTAAATCTCTCCAAAATGTCAATACAAAAAGCAATGCTTGAACCTGGTACTTGGAATTCTCTTGCTCCTTCAGCTCCTCAAAACGTACCACGGGGAATATTTTGCTGATGTGAACTAACTTCAGTATGGATTCAAGAACTCCCATCAAGTTTCCGGATGGCTGCTCTTGTAGCAGCACACAACTGGCCTGCCTCAGATGTCTGAAATGCTTCTACGTATCATGTATTGCATTTCTTAGACTATTCAAACTGTTTGATGTCCTCTGCAGCTGTACAATAACACTGCTCTTCTAAGGAGAGAACTGGGGAGAATTCCACCTGTATTTCCAGTGCTTCTCAAAACGTTCAAAAAACAGGTCAAAGACAAAGCATGTGAAAACTGGTTTGTTTCACAAACCTCCGATACATCTCTGTCATCAGACCTCAGCAAAGTGACAGCTGAGGCAGCCAAACGGGAGAAGAAAACCAAAAGGAGGAAAGGTTAGTAAGGGTAAGGTGACATCTGCACGTCACACATGCAAACCTGCTCATGAGCGTGGGCAGGTTCAGCCAGGATGGAATCGGAGCCTTCTCATGGGTGCTCAGGCAACTGGCACGAGGAAACAGCCAAAGTTACAGCCAGGGAATCTCCAGCATGACAGAAGTAAAAGCCTTCCAGTGACAGCTGTAAACTGCAACAAGCTGCCCAGAGAGCGTGCAGTGCTTTCAGTCTCATAGACCTTGAAAATTCACTTGGGCTGTGCTCTGAGCACAGGTGGGAGCAGGTGACATTTAGGCTCTCTTCCAACAAAACCTGGCCTGTAAGTCTAAAAGTCATCTGTCTGTGATATGACATTTAAAATCTCCAAGATTTGACCAACTACCAAAGGATCAAAGTATGCCTAACTATAAACCGTACACACACGTATCTATGTATGCACAGAATTTAACAGCAAGAACAGTCTGCTGCACTTTGAGCTTCCATGCAGTGTTGTATCATGAGACTGGTAAATCTCCTCCAGCAGGATGGCTTTGCTGGGCGCCCTGAACAACATGCTGCAACCAGACAGATCCTCCAGCAGAGCCCTCATAGTGCAAGACGGTTGTGATGGGCAGGGCTACTTTGATATTAATTCACATAATCTCCAACATTCCAGCATTAAAGTTTCCAGTAGAACACTTTTTGCTAACTATGTACTGAGGAACAGCCAAAGAGCTAAACTGAACATTAGCATCCAAACTCGGAATGGGATGCAGAATTTCATATGGCTACTCTCAGAGAACTGAACTATTTTGAGCCCATTTGGTTATCAGAACATATGCATCCCAAATCTGATCCTGCAATTTCTAACCCTGTAAAAAACTTGTAAAATCAACTACATATGCAGAGCAGATTTCAGGTTTTAAAAATTCTGTTTAGGAAGACTGTCAAAAACACTGTTCTGCTTGTTAGCATCGACACTTTGCCTACAACAGTGGGAAACATGCCTGCAATTCATGAGCACATGCACAACAGTCATTCCTGAAAATTCACACCACCATGGAATGACAATGATCAGTGAACGTTATGTTACCTGTGATCTTTGTCCTGTATTTGAACTTACCTCGCTTTCCCACTAAAGCAAAGCTTTTAAGAGGCTTGTCTTGCAGTTTCACTGCGCCCCATCCCTTATTTTCTTAGCAGCAAAGAGAGAATAAGAAGTTACATACTTCTCCAAAACGGAATTTTTCCATTTTAACTCTGAAG